CCTAATAGATATTATCAGACTTTTTAGTTTAAGTTAAATAAAAAACAAATGTATTTAAACTTTTGGTCACACTTTATTTTGAAGGTCTGTTAAATTAATGTTACATTGCATCTACATACCAACTAATTCTCATTAGATTATAAGTAGACTGTTAGGTTGGGGTTAGGGTAAATTGACGTACTTGCAAAGTTTCTCATAGTCAGTTAAATGTCTGCTAAAGGAGCAGTATCAACAGATATTAAGCAGACAGTCTACTAATACTAAAATAGACCATCAAAATAAAGTGTTACCAAACTTTATAAAATCATGTTGGACCAACTCAACTGCATTTAATTGTGTAATTTTTTTTTTTTTTTTTTTTTTGGAGCTAGAGACATTTTTTAATCTAAATCCTGTTATTCAAAAGAAGGTAATGATTCGCACTCAATTGCTTCATACTGTTTTTATTTTACTTTTTCTTACATTTTACAGGTGATAACAGACAAACAGACGTTTCGGCACAAAGCCTTCCTCAGTTAATGTTAATCCTGCCCTTAGTTAAACTGAGGTCATCCTGGTTACCCATTAAATACGGAATTGATTTTAAAATTTTGTTTACAAAGCCGTCAGTAATCTTGCTCCTTAGTACTTTAATGACTTGCTCTGTCGTATATCTTCTTGATCATAGAGATCTTATGATCTCAATTTACTCACCGTGCCCAGAACATGCCTTAAAAAACAAGATGATCGAGTATTTGCTGTTACCGGTCCTAAACTCTGGAACACATTACCAATTCACATTCAATTCACACATCTGTGTTTAGGTCTTTTTTAAAGACCTATCTATTTTCTCTTGCTTTTAATACTCATTGATCACTGTTTATATATTTTATTTGTTAAATGTCTCATTTCTTCTCTGTCTTTAGTACTCCTATGTACAGCACTTTGGTTGTTTTTAAATGTGCTTTATAAAACAATATTGTATTGTATCCTATGAGTTATTCTTTGAGCATAGAAAATGCTTATTGATTTATTAATTGATATAAATTTCGACAAGAAACAAGACAGAAATTCTAAATAAGTGTTGATTTGTTCTTCAGATAATCTAGCACCAACTTGTTTTGTGTACCTGAAGAATTGGACCAAACGTAGCTTGTCTGCCACATTTGCTTTATTTGGTTTGTTACCGCTGCTACATTACTTCTCAAACCCCTCACTGCATTCATCTTGTTTCTTAATCATCTCCTGCTGAGTCCGGCCTGGGTATTACTCTCCATGTCAGGGTAATGGAACACTGCAGCATTCATTTGAAATATCAACTTGTCTTTTTGCCAAGGGAGATGGCAGCCCTCGTTCTCTCACCCTCTCTCCTCATCCTGATGTCCAAAACCCTGTTAATGGTCTCCTGAAGCATAGAAACACGAACAAGAGTGTCCTCAAATGTCAATTAGTTTTGATCAGTAACCCCAAAAACTGAAGTCTACTGAGAAGTTACGCAACATACTGTAGATATAAAGTTCAGTTTTAGATTAAAGTAATAATCTTGGGCATCCATCACATCTAACTATGCAAAAGTATAATGAGTGAGAGAGAAGACAGAGAACAACATATTTTTATTTATTTTAGCTGCTTGTTCAAATCACTTAATAAAATAACTTAGCTTAACACAAATCTTGAGTTTTTGGGGGCAACCTAATGGTTTTATATTCAATCCACTTAAATTTGTCAAAACCAGTCAACGTAATTGATTTGAGTTGTGACAACATGAATTGATTGTGTGGAACCCTTCATTTTTATAGTGTAAGAGCATTTGTAAATGATTTTACTTTTGAAATGTGAGTTAAAAGCTTGATACATTGCAAAAAAAAAAAATGTTGAGTATTGGTTCTAGTCCAGATATCTACACTGTTAAACCCAAACAGTTAGCTTTATCAAATGAAATGAGTGTAGTTAACTCAAAATTCACTGAAAGTTAATTTTACACATTTGAAAAGAGTTTTGAACTCAGTGTTAAAATAGATTAGTTAATATAGATTATTATTATTTTTATTTATTTATTTTTTTTAAACAAATGGTTTGTAGCAATTGGTTACCTCAAATGGTTTGAGTTGCCTTAACTTATTGGGTAAAACACAGTTGGTTTGAGTTCTCTTCATTTATTGGGTTTTACTGTGCTTAAATTGCTTCGTTTACTCAAATGGATTAAGTTTACAGTACTCATTAGGATTACTTTGTGAGCAGTAGTTGTTTGTTGCAATCGGCTTGCTCAAATGGTTTGAGTTGACTTACCTGTTTGGGTTTACAGTGTAAATATTCTTAACTCAAGAAGCAGTTTCTGAACAATGAAAACCTATTGTTTTGTTTTCAAAAACAATAAGTCAAAACTAGAAGATGTTTTTCTTAAAACAAGCAAAATAATATGTCTTTGTGATAAAACAAACATTTTAGTTTATGGTTTAAAATACAATTATATTATATATCCCCACTGTAAAAAAAAGTTGGGTTTCATACAATTGAAAAGATGTTGTAAGAAACATGACTGAACAAATATTTAATTTATGACAAATACAGCTTTACTAATAAACTAAAGTGACACTTAAAAAAAAGTTGTAATTTTAGTTATGTATAAAACACATCATTGTTTTATGTCCAATCCACTTAAATTTGTTAGGTTAACTTAATTGATTTGTATTGGGACATTTGATATTTATATTACTTACCCTACTGTAAAAAATGTTGGGTTCCACACATTTGAAAAGATTGTAAGAAACATGACTAAATAAATATTTAACTTATGACACGTACAGATTTATTAATAAATTGAAGAGATCCTATACTCAAAAAGTGATTTTTGCAGTTTATTCAAACTACTTTTTTTGGAAAACATAATTGTTTTATGTCCAATCCACTTACATTTGGTATGCTAACTTAAGGAATTTGTATTGGGACAACATGATTTAATTTTGTGGAACCCTTTTTACAGCGTAAAACCACATTTGTATGCTTAGAGTTTTTGTCTTGATTCTAGTTCAAATACCTAAATATTCTTAATTTTAAAAAGCATTTCTGGACAAATGAAAATCCATTGTTTAGTTTTTTAGAACAAGAAGTCAAAATTAGAAGATTTTTTTTCTTTAAAACAAAATAATTTGCCCTAAGACAAATAGTTTAGTTTTGGTTTGAAATACATCTAACCCACTGTAAAACAATAAATAAAAAAAAAAAATTAAAAAAAAAAGTACAGGTTTATTAATAAACTAAAGTAATCCTACTCTTAAAAAAAAAGTGAATTGTTTAATCCACTTATGTGATACATTAACTTAATTGACTTGTATTGGGACAACATGAATTGATTGTGTGAAACCCTGCACCTTTTACAGTGTTAGATTATTTTGCTTGTTTTAAAAACAAAACGCACTAGTTTCTGACTTATTATTTCTGAAAATCAAACAATATTCTTGACTTGTATAGAAAATCCGTCTTGGTTTAAGAATGTGTATATATCTGGACCAGAAACAAGTCAAAAACTCACCCAAAAAAAAACTGTTTTGCGCTGTATATACATTTCAAGTAACCAATCTAAAAAAAAAGTTAAAAGTCCAAATAATGATTATTATACAGACAGCCAGGACTAAAAATATCAAGAAACCTCTCCCTATGTTACAAACACATGCTATGCTTTTAAAAACAGCCTTATCTGCTCTTGATATTAAACAGTTATGTGAGAGGAAAACATTAAGCGAATCAGCTCTGCAAATCTTTAGCCTCTAATGACTCTCAAAGGTTTAATTTGCTCATTGATTTCTCAGTCAGACATAGAGATTGATTGCCAAGGTTCACATGCTGCCTCTTTTTTTTTTTTTGGAAAAAAAGTTTTATTTTTCTTCTATTGTGCCAATTTAATAACAAACAAGAGGAAAAAGCTTAAAATCCATTGTATAGTTGATATGAAATACCCTTGAGATAAGCCTATCCATACCTCAGTTTTTATTGAATATTTCGTCCCCAATTAAAAGAAGGTGCAGTATTAATGGATCATATAATTATATAAAAGGCAGCTATACAAGTCAGAAGGGAATACAGACAGCCTTCTTGGTTGCACAGTGTCATGGTGGAGGAATTACCACATTCTTATGGGTGTTTATCCATTAAGACCATGTCGCTAATGATCTCTGCTGCTAAGGGAAGCAATGTGCCCTCAATGCCATCTCTCTGTTCCGATAACTAGTCAGCAGGAGACGGGCGACTGGCCTTTAGCCACAGAAATGAAACATATTTACAGCCCCGATAGGACACTATTATTTAAAATTGATGACTGTGTAAACCGTTTGGTATGCCCCATTGCCATCGCACATCTCGTCTTGTTAAAGCATCGACACAAAGCAGCAGAACAGCGGGAAACTTATCTGTCATGGGCTCCTTTGCTAATGACACAAGCTAACTTTGAGACGGATGACCCTGATGTTGCCTTTCGCCTCGCACTTAATCTAGTGCGAAGCCTAAAAGATGCATTCAACCGCTTTGAGCTGCGTCCGTGCTATTTTTAATCTCCAGCATTAGTTAAACCTTTCGAGGGGGCGTGCGAGGAACTGTTCCCCGCATGTGTTACACGTATGCTGATTAGCTCTGCTCTGATAAGTGGAGCTCATTGATTTCCATTCATTTAAAATACTCTCTTTGCTTCCCACTCGCTTCCATTTTAGCTAGAAACCCAGGGTACATTAAAAAGGTGCAGCGCTAAATGATGGATAATTCCGCTCCAATCCTTGTATTCAATTAGGGATCCCCAGCGCGTCTTTTTCCTTTAGATTTCATGCATTACGTCTTAATAGCTCGAAAACACCCGCCACACTCTACATGATGTTCCCCGATCCATCACAGTCATGAATCATTTTCCTTGATGATAAACAGGAGGCTGTGCGTAATGGATGCATACTCTGTCACCTGCGCAATGTCTCTAGGGTGAATACTAAATCTGACCTCAAATGTTGTCTGTCTGTTCTGTCTGTCTCTCTCTGCAGGGCCCTTACTCTGGGAAGGGCGCCTGTCATGTTTTCTCCTCCACGCTTCTGTTCTCCTGCTGCTCAGCAAGGGGGAGCGGATGTGCCCTGTGAGTTGCCGCTGCGAAGGCAAGATTGTTTACTGCGAGTCTGGCGGCTTTCAAGACGTCCCGGAGAACATCTCTCTAGGGTGCCAGGGTCTATCTCTGCGCTACAACAGCCTCCTGTTGTTGCTACCTTACCAGTTTGCTCACCTCAACCAGCTGGTCTGGCTCTACCTGGACCACAATTCCATCAGCACAGTGGATAGGCTGGCCTTCCAGGGACTCCGTCGGCTAAAGGAGCTAATTCTGAGCTCGAATAAAATTGCGCAGTTGCAAAACGGCACGTTTGAGACTGTCCCGAACCTGCGCAACCTTGACCTGTCCTACAATCAGATGCAGGACTTAGTACCTGGGCATTTCCACGGACTTCGCAAGCTGCAAAACCTTCACCTGCGATCAAACAACATCAGAAGCATACCTGTCCGTACTTTTATGGAATGTCGGAGTCTGGAGTTTCTGGATTTGGGCTACAATCGCTTACGGACTATAACTCGTACGACCTTCCTGGGACTGCTCAGGCTGACAGAACTTCACCTTGAACACAATCAGTTTTCCCGGATTAACTTTTTCCTATTTCCACGGCTCTTAAACCTGCAGGCTCTTTATCTGCAATGGAATCGCATACGGACAGTCGTCCAAGGTTCGCCTTGGACCTGGCACACTTTGCAGAAACTGGATCTATCAGGCAACGAGATTCAGATTTTGGATCCTGCTATTTTTAGGTGTTTGCCCAACTTGCACACACTCAATCTGGAGTCTAATAAGATCAGCAACGTGTCACTGGAAGTGGTTTCATCATGGATCTCCATTAGCACCATCAACCTGGCAGGAAACATATGGGACTGCAGCTCTAGCATATGCCCTTTGGTGTCTTGGCTGAGAAACTTCAGGGGAACTAGAGATGCCAGCATTATTTGCAGCACTCCTAAATCCCTTCAGGGAGAAAGAGTAATGGATGCGGTGAGGAACAACTCGGTGTGTGAAGAGATGTTTACTGTGGAACCGACCACAGAATTAACCCTTCTTTTGACTACTACTACGACAACTCTTTATGTGACAAAGCCACCTACAACTACCACTACAACCCCACGCACCACGACTAGACAGCTTTCCCAAGTTACCCACATACAAAGACTGACCCCAAAGGTTTTATTACCCGTTCGACCTGAGAAAGAATTCCTAACGGTGACACCAAGCAGCTTACCCTTTACCCCCGAACCGGAGTTTGAGCATATGACCTTCCACAAGATCATCGCTGGCAGCGTCGCCCTATTCCTCTCAGTGTCATTAATCCTATTAGTGATTTACGTGTCGTGGAGAAGGTACCCTAACAGCATGAGACAACTCCAGCAGCACTCAATCCGGCGCAAGCGCAGGAAAAAGACCCGAGAGCCTGAACATAACATCAACTCTCAACTGCAAGAATATTATCTGAGCTACAACCATGCCAATGCAGAGACCATGGACTCTTTGGTTAACGGGGCGTGCACCTGCACCATCTCGGGCTCCAGAGAGTGCGAGGTATGACCTACCGCTAATCAAACCGCATTCTCTGCACCGGGGAGTCAGAGGTAAACTTTTTTAAGAGCATGACTGCCCGTAAAGCTACTCTTCTTTCTTATCTTTGCCCTGCCGTGACCCACATCTTTGAAATGCTCACAGTTAATTGCATTAGAGGAGGAACAGTTCACCTAAAAACTAAATTTCTCCCATAATTGCTCACCAAGCCATTCCAAACACGTATGCTGTTATATTTTTCCTTGGGCTTTTAAAAAGAAAGCTTTTCAAGCAGCTCAGAGACTTTGCCTATCAAACCGTTCTCCTTTCACAATCTACAAATAAAATGCCATAATAATAATAATAATAATAATAATAACAGCACACATGTTTGAAAAGAGTGAATAATGACAAACCATTGGGCTCTGCTTAAATCAAAGGGATAGTTCAACCAAAAATCATCATTTTCTCTCCCTTCATTTGTTCAAAACCTATTAGAGTTTTGTAAACACAAAATAAAATATATTGCTAATCGCTGGCAGCCATCCTTCAAAATTATTTTGGCTACATCAGAATAAAGCAACACAGAAAGCTTTAAAATCCACATGAGGCAAATAAACTAAGAGATAAATTTCCTTTTTGAGTGAACTACCCCTTTAAGGTGGCGCATTTCAACCCAAATAAGAGTTTTATACTGTGAACAGGCAACATTATCATCTCAGGGTGCTTGTGACTATTATTAGTATGAAAGGATTAAATCAGTGGTGGTTCACAGTAACTTTAAGTGACTATAGATTGTTCCTTCAAAATGAAAGGCGTCTTAGTGCGACAGGTAATCAAGCAGCTCCCTGTGAGACATTTTCTTCCCACCATCTGCCTATTGATTTGCTCATGTGAAAGTCTCTTAATCTGAAAGAAGTCAAAAGTGAAACAGGGATAAATGTTAAAGACCTTAGGTCAATCAAGTCCACAAAAAAAAAAAAAGTCATAGCATACTGTAAGAATTACTACAGTAAAGTGAACAAGTAATGAAATACTTTCTCATATTAAAGCATTTACTATAGTATTTACACTGCATTGTTGAATATGCAGTACTATACAATGAACTGTAATGAGCAAAATAAATATTATAGGTGTTTCTGTATGTGACAGAGCTGCTAATGTGAACAATTCCAGTGTGCATTACTTTAGTAAAACAATTTACAGCAATTGATTATTTTAAGAAACACTTTGATTGGCTTAAAACTGAAATATCAAATATTGCTTCAATGGTTATGTAGTCTAAAATGCCCCTGAATACTAATATATTTGCTTAGTAATTTATTAATGTAGTAATCCTGTTATTTTACTATAGTTATCATGAGAAGTGCAGTCCAATTATCACATCAAATGACCACATCATTGATATACCAAAAGTACCACATTATATACCATTTACTATGGTATATGTGTTATGATAAGGTTTAAAAACACTACAGTATTTACCACAGGAAATTTACTAGACATTCTGTAGTATATTACGCTAAATTACTCTGCTATTTTAAATGGGCAATCTATCAATATAAATACACCTAAAAATGCTTTTCTTGGAGAGTTGCTGTCTTTTTTTATAATCCAATTATATTATAATACAATTCTTAATTTCTAAAAAAAAAAAAAAAAAAGGAATATTAATAATTAAAAAAGGGCATCACGGTGGCGCAATATGTAGCATGATCACCTCACAGCAAGAAGGTCACTGGTTCAACCCTCAGCTGGTTGCAGCTGGAAGGGCATCCACAGTGTAAAATATGTGCTGGATAAGTTGGCGGTTCATTCCGCTGTGGCGACCCCAGATTAACAAAGGGACTAAGCCGAAAATAAAACTAATGAATAATAATAATATTAATATTAATAAATAGTATTAAAAGAAAAAAAAAACAGTTTTTTTAAAGGACAAAAGTGGGGTTAGTATAATAAACATACACTGCAAAACAGTCAACTTTATCAAATTAAATGAGTGTAGTTAAGTAACTGCTTATTTGAAAAGAGTTTTGAACTCAGTGTTGAAAGTAATGAGTTAATTAAATTCCCCAATACTAAAATGGAGAAAGTTTACAGTACTATACAGTAGTATATAGATTAGTTTTAGCAATCAGTTTCCTCAAACGGTTTGAGTTCTCTTTATTTATTAGGTTTTACTGTGCTCAGATTGCTTCGTTTACTCAAATGGATTAAGTTCACAGTACTCATCGGGATTAGTTTTACAGTGTACTTTAAACTGAAGATAAGATTATTTTACATTCTCCATTGCTTACCTTACATACTCCATTTGCTTGTTTTAGTTGAACTCAAAACTGACTGAAAGTTAATTCTACTCATTTGAAGAAAAGAGTTATAAACTTAGTGTTGAAGGTAATAAGTAAATAAAATACCTCCTTACTTCAACTTAATTGGAGTAAGTTCACAGGGCTCATTTGAATTAGTTGTTGAACTTAAATGGTTTATTACAATCGGTTTCCTCAAATGGTTTGTGTTTCCTTAATGTTTTGGGTTCTACAGTGTAAGATATAACTAATTACTAGGATACGTCTATGGTACTGATTTTGATTAGATTATAGATTATAGTTAACTTTAGTTGCATGTTTTTGGATGGTATGAGGAAACACTGGGGAAACCCATGCAAGCATGGGAAGAACATGTAAACTCCGAAACTCCACAGAAACATCGACTGGCTTGGTAAGGATTGAACCAGTGACGTTTTTCACCCATCTAAAAAAGGAGGAGTAGTGGTGGAAGGGTTTTTTTTTTTTTTTCAAAACGAAGATGGCTGTGGTTTGGAATTTACTTTAGGTTATTTATGGTGACTTAGGAATCGTCTGATTGGTGAATCATAAATTGGCTAATGCAGGTCCAGCTATGTTTAATCATAAGCACTTGATCCTCTCGAAATTAGTTTAAAAAAGACTTTAGACTGTTATCGATTTAATGTAATACACTATAAGGATTTTTTTTTTCTAATTGAAAATTAAAAGGTTTTTACTATCCTCACCAAAAAAATATTTTCATTTGAATGTACTTATTTCTTAGCCACATATTTCAAATAATGTATCAAAACAAGCAAACTCTGGTTTCATAGCACTTTTTTTTACATAACAGAGAATTTTTTAATGAATGTTACTATAGGAAAGATAATTAAACTATATTGGTAAATAGAGGGCGAAGCAGTGGCGCAGTAGGTAGTGCTGTTGCCTCACAGCAAGAAGGTCGCTGGTTCGAACCTAGGCTCAGTTGGCGTTTCTGTGTGGAGTTTGCATCTTCTCCCTGCATTCGCGTGTGTTTCCTCCGGGTGCTCCGGTTTCCCCCACAGTCCAATGACATGCGGTACAGGTGAATTGGGTAGGCTAAATTGTCCGTAGTGTATAAGTGTGTGAGTGAATGTTTGTGGATGTTGCCCATGATGGGTTGCGGTTAGAAGGGCATCCGCTGCGTAAAAACACGCTGGAGTTGGCGGTTTATTCCGCTGTGGCGACCCCAGATTAATAAAGGGACTAAGCCGACAAGAAAATGAATGAATGGTAAATAGAGTTAAAAACTATTTGTTAAAAGTTCTATTGAGAGGGGTTGACGGTGATTGGATTATTTCGGCTTGAATGAGTAGCTTTTCATGGACATAGGAAAATGAAATTAAGACCAGTTTAAAATACTTTAAGACCTATACAATAAATGTAAGACTTTTTAAGGCCCCGCAGACAACCTGAAGGACAAACTCACTTAATTTGGACTTATTTCTGAAAACTAAACTATATTATTTATTTTTCTGGAAAATACCTAATAATTTAAGAATGTGTAGATATTTGGACTACAATATAAACAAGACAAAAACTCAAAGTCAGAAAAACTGTACACAACAGAATTGAAATGACACAACCTGCCAAAAAAAAATCATACTACTATTCACAACATCCTAAACCATCAATTATCAATATGAGCAAGCGGTTTTTCGGTGAACCATTCCTTTAGGTTGGATGTGTTTGTTTTTGGTGGCACAATGGGAAGTGCACATGCCCAGATTTATTCTGCTCCACTACATTGTTTCACACTGATAATTAACGTGAACAAAGTTGTAAACAAGTTCATCCTCTGACCGTCGTAGTATTTCACTTTTACAACCCTAAAGTGCTTTTCAACCGGCTTTATAATTTCCTCTCGAGGGTCTCCCTCAATTAAACCTAATTCATTGCTAACAATCCCAGCAGAATAATGTCATCCTTAGTAGCCTCACAGAAACGAAGCCTTTGTGACACGAAACAACACTCGCGATGACATTATTGTGAGTCATTATTATCAGCCTCAGTGTTTATCATGGGACGAGAAGGAGCTGAAACAGCATTAAGTAATTATGTGCTTAAATTATAGAGCTTTATTTTACAATTTTTAAGACGCATTATCCTGCATGACTACATTCTTTGCCCTTTACGCTACCAGCTGTTGGAAATCAATGTACATATTCATGTTTTCCATCACCTTCAATTATCGCCTAGTCTTTTAACTCCAGCTCGGGGCTCCTCCATTGCTCATTTGATCGCATCTTTGAAGATCCGTGTTGAAACGGGTCATCAAGTATTCAGTTTTGACATTTAATGAGTGCTTATTTATGCATGTTATTATTTAGCGTCTTTTTTCCCTCCTGTTTGTGTCAAATCGACCTGGCTCTGGTTCAGTTTCTCTTATTATTTTTGGGTGATGTTAAATGAAAGTTAACATAAAAGCTTTTACAGAACCTGCCCAGAAAATGCATGACATTTTTGGTAGGGACTTTACACGCCTTAATTGCACCTAATTTGATTTTCTGTTCCTCCCTGGGAGAAAAGTAGAGCAAAGGAAGGTCAAACTGGGTGAGATGCGCAATATTAAAATCAAAACATCATAACACAGCACTGAAATACTAAATAATTGTCATTTTTTACCTCTAGGTTTTACTTGTTTGTCTCCAAGCTTTAAGTAAATCATTTAAAACAATTACATTTCATATCGTATCACTTATTCCACATGTAAGTATGCATATCTAGTGTCATTTTTACATAAATATGGTACTGAGAAAGATGCTAAAATAGTACTTTTTTTTCCCCATGAATACCGTACATTGACATTTTATTCGAATATTAAATCAGACCCTACTAAAGCCATTTTTCTCTATTCAATATTAATTTGCTTGGAACTTCAATTACATTTTTCTTCCATTAGAGAGCTCTAAACATATTTGCGCAATCGATTTAGATTTATTTGATGAACTAATTGGCGTATTATAACTAATTTGATTATATCAATTAGCAGGCTTAAATTGATTCCCAGGCTTAATAAAACGCAACCAACCAGGCAGAAGAATAAACAGGCTCGTTGAATGGAAGATCTTTTCACTGCAGTGTATTTATACATGTATAATGCTTTCTTATTTGAAGTAAATTTTGTTGCAAAATATATGTAAAAATTAGAGAAAGAATTAGGAAAAATATTGTCACCGTAGAATTATATGGTTCTATCTGACATTTTTGTCAAAAATAGGTTATTGACATTCTTATTAAATGACAACTTATTTACATTATGGGATGCTTTTTAAAAAGTGTTTTACATTTTAAGAGTTTTTAATAAAAAAAATGTTACACACATACTGTTTGCTATATGGCATGCAAAAACTTTGAAGCTCATTATCTCAAAATCATTTAGAACGGAGATAGAACCTTATAATTCCAAGATGGCTACATGTCTAATTTTCCATTTAAATTAGGAATATTCACTTGTTTATTGAATCCTTTTGTCTAGTTTTAATTCATTATTTCCAGAAGATATCTTGCTTCTTGTTTGAAATATTCTGAGTTTATATGGAGTTAGTTTTGTTCCTTAACTATTTAATCAAAACTATTTAGTTTAAGAGAAAAAGTACATAATAATTAAACAACTAAAATGATTGCAAATAAAAAATATTTATTTAAAAAATGTCAATAATAATACAATGTTTTGCAACTATGCAGTTGACACAATTTTATTCCACACTCATTCCTTTCGCTCTGTTCTGCTGTCATTTATTGCACAATAAGAATTTTTGCTTGCGAGTTAAAATGTTTTGAGTTAATTTTGTCTTTATTATTCAAACAAACATGTAGTTTTAGACCAAAATTAAATGCATTGTAATTAAGAAAAAAAAAAAAAAAACTGACACGAGAACAGAGTGCAAAATGAATGTTTAATCAAAAAATTGTGGTAACTGCATAGTTTATTTTTTGCAAAGCAAAACATTTTATTATCATTCAGTTTTTTTAAATATTTTTTTTTTTTTTGCAATCTTTTAATTTTGAATTACCATGTACTTAATTTTTTGCAATTTGCAGTTATCCACTGTAATTAAAGTAGTCGTAGTAGTTGAAGACAAAAATTAAAATTATAGAAAAACATATTTTGTATCACAAAATTGCACAACTAGTGTAAAATGTTAAAAAATGATTGTAAAAATACAGTAAAATAGTTGTAAAATAATGTGGTACTATAAAAAGTTACGTTCAGGCTACTTTACTGTAAAAGAAATGCCAACTGACCCAGCCGAGGCTTGAACCAGCTACCTTCTTGCTGTGAGGCGACAGCAATATCCACTGCGCCACCACAAAGCACAAAATGTCAAACAGTGCAGTGTAATGAAAATTATAAAATGAAATTGTGATCAGGCCCTGCCACAGTAAACCACCTGTTTACAGTTAAGTTTTGCAGTAACTTACCAGCAGTTACTTTAAAACTACTGTAAAGTGCAACTACAGTAAATTTACTATAAAAACTGTACTATAAAATTAAAATGTGGTATTTTACCATAAAAAGAAATTATGGTAAGGCTTTTTTTTCAACTGTAAAATGGTAGGACTCTGCTACTGTAAAACACAAAAGTTACAGATAAGTTACTTTAAAAGGGCAGTTGCAGTAACTTGCTGGCAACAGTGCTCTAATCAAAACTATGGTACATTCTGGCAGTTTTATTAGTATATTCCGAAGCCAAAGTGCACTGCTAGTGTAAAATGTAAATACATTACAGTAAAGTACTGTAAAATTAAAATGTGGTGTTTGACCACAAAAAAGATATTGTGGGAGAGTTTTTTTTTTTTCCTGTAAAATGAAATTGCAGTGAGGTCAATTTACCGCAAACTACAATAAAATGTCTAGCAGTGCAGAGCAAATACAAAAATCATCAAAACTATGGTACATTCTGGCAGCTTTATTAGTATATTCCAAAGCCAAAGTTCACTGCTAGTGTAAAATGTAATTACATTACAGTAAAAGTACTGTAAAAATTGTCATACTCTAAAATTAAAATGTGATATTTGACCATAAAAAGGTGCTGTGGTAAGGTTATTTTACTGTAAAATGAAATTGCAGTAGGGCCCTATTACTGTAAAACACATTTACCGTTAAGTTTTGCGGAAACTTACCGACAGCACTGTTTCACGCAATTTACTGCATAATATAATAAAATGTCAAGCAGTGTAGAGTAAATACAAAAATCATCTACTCAAATCTATGGTACATTCTGGCAGTTTTATTTGTTTATTCCGAAGCTAAAGTGCACTGCTAGTGTGAAATGTAAATACATTACAGTAAAAGTACTGTAAAAATTGTCATACTGTAAATTAAAATGTGGTATTTGACCATAAAAAAGGTGCTGTGGTAAGGTTATTTTACTGTAAAATGAAATTACAGTAAGGCCCTGTTACTGTAAAATATATTTACCGTTAAGTTTTGCGGTAAATTACAGACAGCAATGTTTCCAGCAATTTAAAATACAATAAAATGTCTATCAGTACAGAGTAAATACAAAAATCATGTAATCAAAAATTATATTGATCAGGCACAGTTTCATCAGCATATTCTGAAGACAAATTGCACTGCTAATGTAAAACATAAATAAATTACATTAAAAGGACTGTAAAAATTAAAATGTGTTTAAAATGTGGTACAAAGTGGCTAAAATTAATTTGCGGTAGTGTCCTGCTACACTGTAAAAAATTTCCCTGTAAAAAAACAGTAATCTACTGGCAGCTGTGGTTGCCATTATCATACTGTAAAAATATGGTGCCCTACCGTTTTTTAAATTACCAGCATGATACTGTTTTTGTTAGCAACAGTATTGTACTGTTGTGGAACTGTAAAAATACAGTGCCTTACCGTTTTAAATTAACAGCATGATACTGTTTTTTTAGCCACAGTAATCTACTGTTATGGAACTGTAAAAATACAGTGCCCTACCATTTTAAATTAACAGCATGATACTGTTTTGTAAGATACAGCATACCACTGTTATTCTAATGTAAAAATACAGTGCCCTACCTTTTTTACATTTTATCTACAGCATGCATCTGTTATTTAGAAGCATAAAGCTGTTAAATTACAATCCATATTTAACCATATTATTTCAGATTAAAATGATTCAAAAAGAGAAATAAATCCAAGTTATATTTCACATTTTTATTTTCAAACAACACAAAATAAAATCTGCATTGTGTTTGTGAAAATATTAAGCCAAAGAACAGGCAAAAATTGTAAGTTCTCCAGAAATGTTAAGATCATATTCAGCATTTTACAACAAGAAGCAACTTACCGAATGTCATAGAATAAATTAATAAATAGCCACTTTACAATTTAGTCTTGGATATAAAATATAAAAATATATAGGCCCAAAATGAGCTTCAGCAAATAAAGAAAAAAAGGCCTCTGTGTTGCAAAAGTAGGGGGGTGCAAGCTAGCTGCATTTTAAATAATGTCCCATTCAAAGTCCATTAGTTTCTTCAAAAGGTTTGAAACCTTGGGGTTTACAGTCGTGGTCTTCTTCTGAACTGTGTTGCCAGTTTTTTTTGACGTCACATTTCCTCTCACAGCCTTGGTTCCCCTCTCTGGATTTATGCCAGCAAAGCATCTGAATAATAAGAATGAAAAAATTTCTGTGAACAAGGTATTTAAAACTGCATGACTTACAAAAATAAATAAACTATCTGCAAAAGTGATTTTCTGTTCTGAAAGAAAATTTTAGTGAAAAAGCACATGCATTTTTGCAGCACTAAAATGGTTTTCCCTGTAAAAAGGTTATTATTATATGATGAAGATTAAAGACATGAAAAGGGCATTCAAATGTTAAAATGTTTGATTTTTGAACAACACCAGTGACGTGTGTGTACATAGTTAAAGTCCCTATTTGCTATTATATATGTACAGTTGAAGTCAGAATTATCAGCCCCTTTTTTTGAATTATTTATTTTCATTATTTTCCTAATGATGTTTAACAGAGCAAGGAAATGCTCACAGTATCTGATAATATTTTTTTTTCAGGAAAAAGTCTTGTTTTATTTTGACTAGAATAAAAATAGTTTTAATTTTTTTAAATATAGATTTTAAGATCAAAATTACTAGCCCCTTTAAGCTATATAAATGTTTAGATAGTCTACAGAACAAACCATTGCTATATAATGACTTGCCTAATTACCCTAATCAGCCTAGTTAACCTAATTAACCCAGTTAAGCCTTTAAATGTCACTTTAAGCTGTATAGAAGTGTCTTGAAGTAAATCTCGTCAAATATTATTTACTGTCATCATGACCAAGAGAAAATAAATCAGTTATTAGAGATGAGTTATTAAAACTATTATGTTTAGAAATGTGTTGAAGAAATTCTCTCCGTTAAACAGAAATTGGGGAAAAAAATAAACAGGGGGCAAATAATTCAGACTTCAACTGTATATAATATATTTTTTCCCCCCAATTTCTGTTTAACAAAGAGAAGATTTGTTCAACATTTCTGAACATACTAGTTTTAATAACTAATTTGTAAAAACTAATAACTGATTTCTTTTATCTTTTCCATGATGACAGCAGATAATAATTGCCTATATTTTCTTAAAATACTAGTGTTTAGGCCTAACTAGGTTAATTAGGTTAATTAAAGTCATTGTATAACGATGGTTTGTTCTGTAAACAATCAAAAATATGTATTGCTTTAGGGGACTAATAATATTGACCTTAATATGTTTTTAAAAAAAAAATAAAAACTACTTTTATTTTAGCTAAAAATCAGAAAAAAAATTCTCCAGAAGAAATAATATTATCAGAAATTCTGTGAAATATTCTTTGCTCTGTTAAACATAAATGTAAATATTGAAAAAAGAAAAAAAAAATCAAGGAGGCTAATAGTTTTGACCACGCACGCACGCACGCACACACTCACACACACCACATAGTGTTCAGCATAAATGAACAGCCCCTTTAAAAAATGTATATTTGTATAAATTCCTCAGTGAATATAGACAAATATATATTGGTGCATTTAAACAAAACAGTTTTATTAAACAGAGTAATATTTTTTTCCTGTTTATTATTAAAACTGTATTTTTTTTTTTCATCAAAATATTCAAAATATTCACTGGCGTGTACTAAGTTTATTAGCTCCAATTTTGGCTTTGACTAATCTAATGTTTATGCACAAATGTATAATTGTAAAGCATTCTATTCAAAATATTAATCTGAAGGACAGATTTTTTAGAGGTCATGTTTAAAAAGGCTATTCTGCTCACAAAGGCTGCATTTATTTGATAAAAAATAAAGTAAAAATGTTGAATTTTAAAGTGTTACTACTAGGGATGTAACAGTATCAGAATTTCACCGTACGATATTACCTCGGTATGAATGGCATACTTATTGAATAATTTACAGGAAAAACAAAACTAATGAAAATACTCAAATAAAGTGCCAAAAGTGTTTATTTACCTTAGCACTGAACATATCAATGACATACAAATTAGCCATCTATCTGTAAGTTTCGAAACAGGAACTTCAATTTTTAAATTTTAATAAAAAAAAACTATTAAACTAAATATAAAAAAAAGTTTTAATTTAGTATTATTGAAAACTCATCACATTCAACATTTAATCACTCACTCACTTAGATAGAGATGGGTTTTTTAAGGAAAATGATCATATAACTATAATCTGGTAAAAGCTGGGATCTCTGGGCATGTCCCCTGCAACAGAAAAAAAACCCCTCTCCATTTGGGACTGAGGTTTCTGGGACAGAGAGATATGATTTAGCCAAGGTTGACAGCAGTGGGTAACGTTGCGCATTGTCTTTCCCCCACTTGAGAGGACAAGCTATGAGTGAGATAGAGGTCTCTTTGCGGTACAAGTCAATAGTCCCTTTCACACAGTGATACCGGTAAATATCCGGAAATTTTCCGGAATGACTTTACCGGTATATTCAAAAAAGCGCTGTTCACACAGGCAAGGACGTTACGGAAATTTTCCGGAAAAGAGCATTCACACATCCATTCCAAAATACCGGTAAATTCTGACATCATTCACCACAAATGAGCTTTAAACGGCTGCGCTTGTATTTGTAAACATTTGACTAAATTACAAACTCTGTGGATGATCAATATTGTGAACAACTTTCTCAGGATCACTTTCGCATGTCGAGATGTTCATAATATGTGCGTGTGCTGGCGCTCACAGGCTGTTTCACAGGCACATGAACGTAAACAAACAACGGCTTATCATATGCATCTCATCGATGATTATTTACACAGTTGGCATTAAGAAGAACATATAAACGTGATCTGACTAACTTCTAGCAGCTAAATGTGTCTGGAAAAATATTCAAAGGCTTATCCTCACAAACCGCGCGGACGTAAATGCGTCTGACTTTTGTGATTGGCTAAAGCAGACGTCTCACGTCAGCACGTTCTAGACGTGCACGCGCTTATTGCGGGAATCTTCCTTCTGCATTCACACAGCGCAGCATTCCGGCAAATTGCCGGTAATGTTACAACTTCTCTTTCCGGAAAATAGCCAGAACGAATTTACCGGTATTTTCAAAAAGGACCTGTTCACACATACAACCTTTCCGGAAAATTGCCGGCAATTTTCCGGAAAGGTCTGTATGTGTGAAAGGGGCTTATGTCTGCATCAATCTAACAAGTGTGCTGTGTTCTGCAGTCCCCATGACTGTTTTTAGTCTTATTCCCCGACTTATATTTCACCACAGTCTGGCAGTGCCTGCATACTGTTTTTTTCTTTATCTGTCACCTTTTCTCCTTTCTTGTATCTTTTTAGAGAGAAACCAAAATGCTTTCACACATCCGATTTGAAATCCACTTTAGGTTCGATCATTTCCAGCTCTTTTTCTTCCCCGCTACTAGCACCACACTCCATTTCCGCATTACTGGATCTGTAGCGACAACAGACCGCAAAGGATAATGGCCACGCCTAGGCTGATGGGAATTGTAGTTCCCGCTACCTCCCGTTTGCTTCATTCGCCTAAGCAAACTTTTCTCAGAAATATAGTTTTATTGAGTCATGCGCCTGCGGTAATATTGAAAAAACTTACTATTGCGGTATGACGGTATTTACAATTTTGTTACATCCCTAGTTACTACACACTTTAAATAATTCAAATTTTTCAAATTTTTTTTTTCTTATTGAACGTAGTTTCACATTTAATTTAGTGTCACATGATCCTTAAGAAATCATTATATTATTGGTACAAAACCACTAATATTGATTCTTATAATGATCAGTGCTAAAAAAAAAAAGCTTCAAAGTATTTTGGAAACTGATACATTCTTTTACGATTGTTTGATAAAAAAAAGTAAATTTTTTTTTTAATCTTTTTTGCATTATAAAAAATTAATTTACTTTTATTCATTTCTTCATTCATTTTCTTTTTGGCTTTTTCCCTTTATTAATCTGGGGTCGCCACAGCGGAATGAACCGCCAACTTATCCATCATATGTCTTACGCAGCGGATGGCCTTCCAGTTGCAACCCATCACTGGGAAACACCCATACACTCTCATTCACACTCATACACTACAGACAATTTTAGCTTACCCAATTCACCTGTATCGCATGTCTTTGGACTGTGGGGAAAACCGGAGCACCCGGAGGAAGCCCACGCGAACACAAGAAGAACATGCAAACTCCACACGGAAATGCTGACCCAGTCGAGGCTTGAACCAGCAACCTTCTTGCTGTGAGGTGACAGCACTACCTACTGAGCCACCGCGTTGTCTAATTTACTTTCATGCTTGAACAATTTAGTTTGAGTAAAAGTAATTAATTTTCAATGGTACTTTGAAATAGTATTGTATAATGTGTACTGACGTGGTGGCGCAGTAGGTAGTGCTGTCACCTCACAGCAAGAAGGTCACTGGTTCGAGACTTGGCTTGGTCTGTGCGGAGTTTGCATGTTCTCCCCGTGTTCGCGTGGGTTTCTTCCTGGTGCTCTGGTTTCCCCCACAAGTCTAAAGATGTGGTACAGGTGAATTGGGTAGGCTATATTGTTCGTAGTGCATGTGTGTGAATGGGTGTGTATGGATGTTTCCCAGAGATGGGTTGCAGCTGGAAGGGCATCCACTGCATAAAACATGTGCTGGATAAGTTGGCGGTTCATTAAGCTGTGGCAACCCTGGAATAATAAAGGGACTAAGCCGAAAAGAAAATGAATGAATAATGTGTATTGTATTGTTTCACAAAGTTATGACAACAACAATAAATGTTTATTCTTAGCAGGTTATATTAAGCACCATGAGAATTATGTGACACTGAGGACTAGTATTTTTAATGATGATTAAAATTTAACTTTAAAATACAAGAATCACATTTTAAACTAAATACAATAAAATATCAGTACATGATTTAATTAGTTTATGATAAATATATACTATTTAACTGACATTTCACTATATTACAGTTTTTGCTGTATTTGTCCTTGTTTCTATTACAGTATTGATTAGCCTTTGTGAGCACAAGAAGCTTATTATACGACATATATATATATATATATATATATATATATATATATATATATATATATATATATATATATATATATATATATATATATATATATATATTTCTGATTCCAAACTTTTTACTTGTAGTGTATACACACAAACACACATGTGACAAGTTGGACATAACAATATTCTATTCCATGAAGTCCTCATGCTAAATTAAACAAAAAATATGTAAGTGCAAACATATTACCTTTGAAGGAATTCCAGTGTGCATGCTCACCCTCACAGATTACTCTGCCTTCCATGCTGACCATCCATTGCTTTATCCACTGGCCCAAAGTATCATCTGAACCTTTAATAAATTGGTTGATTAAAGTATTATTTAGGAATTATTCTGGAGATTAATTCTGTGATTTATCATTTGTTTTGAAAGGCTTGGTGTAAATTATGCAAGAAGTGATAAAGCCATACAATATAATTTTTCAAAATTAAAATAAATATTTAAATAACTATAATAAGCAACAACAAGAAATCAAACCAGGTAATCTGAGATTCAAAGATAATGAAAAGTGACAGAATGTCTTAAGCATGTGTTAAAACATTGACAATAGTATGTCAATAGTAATACTAAAGGATAACTAGGCTTCTAAAAGGCAAGTTTATTTCTTTGGGTATCAGATCAAAACAAATACATACATTTCTAACTAAATGAGACCTTGCTTTAATGAATTAAAAATGAATGAATCTATTTCGTCAAATACAAACCAGCAAAGTCTATAGCGGGACACAAATTAGATTTTTTCCCTATTTTAATTACAAAATACTTACCAGGCAGAATCAAATGAGGAGTCATAGGCAGGTTACCCATCTTTCCAAGATTAGCAGTGGTGGCAGACATCTATTGGTCAAAAATGAATTGTAAAGAATTTTCATTATAATAGCAGTTACTCCTTACAAAAAAAGATTAAAAGCTCTGCCACTTTAGGTAACGTTACCAAGCATAAAATCTGATTGTAACTCTAGTCAATTTCTATATAAACCAACTGCAATAACGTAAAAATAACAAAGGTCTCACTCGATCTTAAAATGTTATTTTTAGAAGCACCGGAGTTGCAAATGAAAAGGTGTATCTGTAATAAAATGGACCAAATATGCAAGTTACACATGTAACCACATGAAAAAAATAAATTCTGTACAATCTTCACTCAAAGTTCATGTAAAATCTAGGTTTAACATTCTTACCTGTGTGTGATGGGAAAATGAGTCCTCCAGCTATCGTTAGCTTGCTAAATTAGGCTAAAGTTACCCCCTTTCTCTTCTCAAGACATTCACACGGTCGGATCCTGCATTTAAATAAACAGGTGCTTTGGTTATGTGTTGATTGGATGTTTATGGCATGATATTTAAATGTAATAAGTAATTTAAAGATATTACGTTTACAGATATAGCTTCTTACCTCGTTGAAAATATCCAAATTATCCAATTATCCTTTCTTGTAAGTACCTTGGAGTTTCAAACAGAGGCACGCAGTTCAAATCTGTCATAAAATGCAGGGCAATGTACCAGTTCATGTAACTACAAATTATAACGTTCAACATTTGCACTGTTCCTAAAAGTTCAGGTAAAATATCCATCCAGGCTCCAGGAGATGTGAGGACTAACGTTACCGAGTCCTTATGCTAATCTTGCTTTTCAAATTCACACAGTCAAATCATTGTTGCAGTTGTGTGTTTATTGGATGTTTACATGTGATTTTAAAAACTAACAGGTACTTTACAGATAGTTAGTCACATATGGAGCTGCAAACTTACCTCATGTAGATAATCCAAAATGGCGTCTTGTGTGCACAGAAAAAAATATGGTATAAAACCGTTAAATTACAGTGCCCTTACTGTTGTTGCTCAACCACTCAAACTGAAGTGAGCAAGTCTTCCCATGATGCATTGTAAAAAACGGCAACTTTGTTTTTACATTAAAACAGTATTTTGCTGTTTATTTTCACCGTAAATTTACAGGAATTTTTTACAGTGTACTGTAAAAAACCTTTACAGATAAGTTACTGTAAAGGGGCAGTTGCGGTTGCAGGAGCTGCCAGTAAGTTACCGCAAATCGTCAAAACGTCAGTGTTATACAAAAACCATCTAATCAAAACTTTGGTATTCTGGCACGGCTTCATCAGTAAATTCTACAGCCAAATTGCACATACCAATGGATAAATGCATGCCATGCATTCAACCACAAATACACAAAAGGTAAATGTCCGCTGAGAGCATAAAATCATTGCAATTCAGAAGACAAAATGGTAAAATCATCCCAGTCTTGATGTCCAATGCAGTGAAACCAGCTGAGAGCCGTCGCTTTAACTTGTGTCACCATAATGATGAAAGCGCCGCTACTGGCTCTTCTCCAACTGCTGATGTGTGACATTGGGAGAATGTCGCATTTTACTGTGCTTGATAGTTTCATAAAGATGTCAATCATCTTCTCCCAGCCGTCTCGGAAGCCTCCAAATGATAGAAATATACAGTGTGGCATACGCTCATTCACCACATTTAAAGCTTAGATTATACCGCAGAGACTAATAAACAGCATTATTCATCTCTCCATCCGCCTCTACAAAAATCTGGTCAGATTTCTTAGAGGATTGAGTGTTTAAGGAACAGTACTGTAATTGTTACCACCATATCACTACAAAAAAAAAATGCTTTTCTTAGTTTTTGTCTTGTAGAGCATTTATTTTTTTAAAGAAATACTTTTTCAGAAATAATAAGTTAAATTTGAGGGTTTTTTTCCCCCTTGTGGTTTAAATCAAATTTAAATATCACACTTTTGTTTTGAAATATGTTGATTTTACCTACCCTATTGGCAGATAATTAAACATACTTTGAGAAAAACTTAAATTTCACAGTTTTTTTTTTCTGAAAACAAACCAACTGGTCTAGAAAATGCTTCTTTATTTAAGATTTTTTTAAATATTTGGACTAGAAACAAGACAAAAACTCTAAGTACACTGTAAAAAAAGTCCATAAATTATCAATTTTCCTTATTTTTTTATTTTTTCATTTACTTCTGCTTTTGAATTGCATTATAGGACCTTGATCTTTCTTCCAACAACTTCCAACTTTAAAAAGTTTTTAAAAATCACTTTTATTGACATTTCAAATAGTTTAAAGTGATATATTTTCTGTGTTGGTGTTGTAAACTACGATACAAAAACCTTGTAATAAACCACCAGTAGCCGGCAGGTAGCTCTCCACAACTCTCACATGATCACCCATTGAAGCTATGCGGGACTGCGCCCAGTCAGTACCTAGATGGGAGACACGTGAAAGCTAGGTTGCTGCCAGAAGTGGTGTTAGTGAGGGCAGCAGGGGGTGCTCAACCTGCCATCTTTGTTGGTCGTGTTGCCCCAGTATAGTGAAGAGGACTCTATGCTGCTTATTGAGCGCCGTCTTTTGGATGAGACGTTTAACTGAGGACTGGCACAATATGGCTGCTGGAGTGTCATCTAGGTGGATACTGCACACTGGTGGTCGATAAGGAAATTCTCCCCAATGTGTAAAGTGCTTTGAATGTCCAGAAAAATACTATATTTATTTATTATTAATTTTATTATTATTATTATTATTATTATTATTATTATTATTATTATTATTTCAGTTAATTTACAGATTTATTCCTCTAAATGTTATTTCTTGTTCATTACATTCTAATAATAACACGCAATAGGCAAATCCACATAGTAATCTGCTTTATTTTTTCAATTATTATAGGTTATAGATGTTTTAAGGGTGTAAAACCGAAAGTAACGAGCAGAAGATTCATTCCGTAATGGCGCCTTACAACAATATAACTTCTACCTTCCTTTATTATGTTCAGAAGTTTAACTTTTTGTGTGATGGTTAGCATCTTCCTCTGCCGTTTGTATGCTACCAAAGGTATCTTTGAGGGTGCAGAGAAAGATTTGTTGACATTATGCCATTTGTTGCGGAGAACACTTGCAAACATATAGTACAGCAATTTAGAGTTACGCTGCTAGCAATCGAAGATTTGTGTAAATTTGACAAGCTAAATGCATTCTGCACTGTAACTGTATGTCCAAAAGCAGCGAGAATGACAAAGGTCGCTCTTGCCGCCCTGGCGACAACACTGTCTAACTTCAGCTTTGGCGGTGGGAGCATCAAAATGTTAAACATTGATCTCATATTTAAAGGGGACTTTAACAGCATATCAGTTACATTCCCGCATGAAATGTGCTCTCTAGAGTGAAAATGATGCACACTTATTATCAAATTCATTTGAATATGAAAGATCAAGTTGCATGTGGTGTGGCTTTGCTCCACTTAACTATCCAATGTGTCCATATGTCTGAAAATATCTAAAGCAGCAATACTGTTTTGTATTGTCGCATGGGATTCACGCTTTTTTAAAGAAAAAAAAAACATATAAAACATTAATGCACATCAGTAACTGGCCAGTGATTTTTTTTAAATGTATGTTCCTGTAAGAAAACATTGCAAATAATTGAAAATCCGGCGACAGCAATAATCAAACCCTTGGGAACAACTGTTGTTGGAAACAAAGTTCACAGTGACTGTGTTCTCTGAAATCCTCTCAAGCGTTGGACTTCTACATTTCGGTTGCTTGCTGCTGAACTGCTTCATAGCTCATTACCATAAAGTTGACTTGACTTCAACTGTCCTCGACGTCCACACCAGCGAAGATGTGCCGCGCTGCTCCACGGTACTTAACGCCGCCTGTTGCAGGCGTTAAATGAATGACTTCCAGGTTCTTTGATGCTCTCGCCAATTTCGATGTGAACGTACAGTTAAAGACAACGCATGGAGGAGATTGATTGACAATTGACTACAGATAATCTAAACACAGAACACCATGCGCTGTAAAAAAAAAATAAAAAAACGATGTCAAATTGCACAAAAATCCCAACACAATCTCACGGCAATTCGTAACTTTTTCATTTAGTGGCTACTTCGTATGAATTTGTATGATCTAATTCGTACAATTTAGTACGATTTGCTTATCCCCCAATGACGGTTGGGGTTAGGGGTGGGGTCAGGTGCCACGCCTCTTTTTTAAAATCGTACCATTTCGTACGACTGAACTCGTACGAATTCGTACGAATTAGCCACTAAACTGGCAAAACGTAAAATACTTACGTTTTCTCGTGAGATCAGGCTGAAAAAATACTGCAAATCTGCGAGGCTGTGAAAGGTGTATCGCGTTACAGTAAGGGGACCACTGTTTATTATTTCAAACTACTAAAACATCAATAAAAGTCACTCTGTTAAACTGCAGATTTGAATTTTCAACATCAAAAGTCAACATAGCAAAAGTCAACATCCCATTATGCAATTCATAAATGGGTTAATAAATGGAAAACACAAATGAAAACTCCCCTGTTCTCTTTTG